TTTCTAACCACACATGCAACTGTAGAATACACAATTATTTCCTGTAGAGTCTTTATCACATTAGAGCCATCTTCGCAAGTCATTTTCTCTTATTCACTACAATTTACCTGACCCAATGAACATAACCACCCATTCCTCATTGGCATTCCGATACCGCAGAATGAAATCCTTATCCCATTACGACCAAGCAACTTCCTGCTCTAAGCACCGAGCATTCTTTGCCAACAACAACTCTAGATATTCCGCAATTCTCATACCCTATGAAGCATAATATAACCCTGGTCAAAATTTTCCTTTACTCTAACCATAGCTAATTCACTTGCAAGCCTCGAGATGGAACCAACATAACACATAACCGAACAATTTGCTAATCAATAACAAACTCCCCAACTTGGCTCGAAGCCATAAATCAATATACACTCAATAACTCATAACACTTTTACTCTATTGATGCCATGATACCATAGTAATATTAAACTCGAATCATTTATAAGTTTGCGAAACTCATATTGTCTAGTAATATAAACCTTCTGCAAATCTCGCATTCATTCCTGCAACGATTAAACCCACTCTCTTAAGCGACTCGGAATCCCAAATTCAGTACGTACTCATCAATTACACATGAGATCTTCTAACATACATATGAGGATCACGCCACTTCAGAACACTCCATAGAAGATAACCCACCTGCTTCGCCTCAATACAACATTTCTACACACCTTCCACCGACATACACATTACATAGTCACTTAGTCTTCTTGAGTCTGAACCCATACCGCAATGTGCAATCTACCTCACTCCCAACAAGGAGACTTGAAAAGATTCTTCACACGCCCGTAACTCGGAGCTACACCTCCAATCACAATGGAAATCATACACTTAATAGTCCACCTCTCGCCCAACATATCTTCCTTAACACTTCCAAGTCATATAGAAACATCACGCAGTACTAACATACTCATCACAAGGTATCCAGCCGTCATTCCCACTATTAGGGACAATACTGAACACATAAGTTCAAAACACTTACTCACACAATCAGCACCACGGTGCTCAAGCCATAGGTAAGGATCCGGCCTCAAGTCCTCCAGACTGCCCCAACATAAACTCACGGAGATCGCATATCGCCCCATATCGGGAAATCATAAGCCATCAAGGCACATCTGATACTGAGAGCTTATGTACACATACGAACGCGTGGGAGAAATTTCAAGAGTTACTTTTTCAAGCTAAATCAAGGACGCACGATAAGATTTCAAGAATGTGAAGTTTTCCTAAGGGTTCTGCAGCCTCTCGAGGATAAATACAGACGTCTCCGTACCGATCCGCGAGACTCTACTAAACTGGCTCAAGATTCGCGAGACCTAGTAACCTAGGCTCTGATACCAACTTTTCACGACCCCAATCCCCGGTCGTGATGGCGCCCAACACAATGCTAGGCAAGCCCGACCAATTCGCCACTCACAATCCCTTATGTAGAATTCATTACCAATTAATAAGATTTAATGATTAACATGATTATAACTCTTTAGTAATAGATAAACAGAACGGAAAATCCAAAAAATATCAATATAAATCCCACCGATCTGGTGTCACGAGCCAAGAGCCTCTAATACAAGTCTGTGTAGAAACCTATACATAGAGTTGTCTAGAATGCGGATAATAAAAGGTATAAGGGGAGAAATCGGGTCCTGCGGACGCCATGCAGCTACCTCGATGACTTTGGAATAAGCTGAACAGCAGTAGAAGGCTCAAACTATGCCTCCGGGATACCTGTATCTGCACACATGGTGCAGGGAGTAAAGTGAGTACTCCAACTCAGTGAGTAATAGCAATAAATAACGACTGACGGAAAGAAAACTCGTAAAACACTACGTAATACTATATTAAAATAGTGAGAATATCAAAAACAACAGCTGAATGAAGAAGTCAGTTAAAAGTCCTTTAAGTCAGTATTCATTTCATTTACTCCTTACGATAACCGAATTCATTTTTGTATTGTTGCGGCGTNTCAGCCCAAGCGCTATACTACTGTGGCGTGCAGTCCGATCCATATAATATACTACTGCGGCGTGTAGTCCGATCCACATAAATATATATATACTACTGCGGTATGCAGCCCCATCCATAGCATATCAAATACCCTCAACATGTGGTTCTCGACCCCTCTCAATCAATATAGACTTGGCCTCTCGGGCACACTAAGATAAGACGGGGTTCTCAACCCACACGTTACTCTCATTAGGATTTAACAATTCCTAAAGTTGGTTCATATTATGTTTATCAGTTAAGAATATGACTGAGGGTATGATTTCGACAAGAAAAGTGAGGTCAACCAATACAAATGCCCCCTAAGGGTTCTACAGATCAGCACAAAGCCCAAACATGGCAACTAGCCCAAAATATAATGATATTAATTAAGTCTCAGTCAAAAGTACAGTAGAGTCATCAAACGGGATGGACCGAGTCCAAATGCCCAGTAGTAACAGACCCCACGCTTATCATACAACATGTGTCTCATCTCAACATAGCACCACGTTGTGCAAATTCGGGGTTTCAAACCATCAGAACATCATTTATAACCATTACTCACCTCAAGACGGTGAAAGTCTAGCTTGCAATTCCCTTGCCTCTCAAATTAGCCTCCTCGTGAGACGAATCTACTCAAAATCACAACGAATATGTCGCATTATGCTAAAGAGACAATACCCAATCGAAAACACTCGAAAATTATCGAAATTAACGAATATGCCAAAACCCGAGCCCCGGTCCCACATCTTGAAACTCAAAAATTTTTACATCATCGGGTTCCTTATCTCGCCACGAGTCTATACATACAAAAATCTCTCAAATCGAACCACAAATGGCCCCTCAAATCCCAAATTTAGAAATTCAATTTCAAGCCCTAATTTCTTACAATTTGGCTATATTTTCATGAATTTCAAGGATGATTTCACAATATAATCATGTATTTAGTTCATATGACTTACCTCCAATCACTTCCAGTCAAAACCCCTTCAATTCCTGTCCAAAAGCTCTCAAGGTTGCTCAAAAATGGAGCAAATGGGTTTGGGTTTGCGGATGAAATGTTTTTAACATTCTGCCCGGATCACTGTAGTTAATTCTATGCGATCGCATTCAAGCCCCTGCGATCGCATAGACCAAAAATTCCATGGTCTCAAATTACCCTATGTGATCGCAACAGGCCCTATGCGATCGCAGTGCCTTACCAAACAACATTGTGCGATCGCAACCCCTTCATGCGATCGCATTGAACAACCAAACAGCCCCTAAAATCCTTCTATGCGATCGCAGCCCTTTGTGCTATGCAATCGTATAGAGCAAAATTGCTCTGCACTGAGTGCTGCATTTCTGCAGCATTTTCCAACTTCAAGAATTCCCGTTAACCATCTGAAATCACCCCGAGGCCCCCGAGACCTCAACCAAAAGTGCCAACCCATCCTAAAACATCATTCAAACTTGTTCCAATCATCAAAATACCACAAACAACACCAAAACTATCAAATTACATCGGATTCAAGCCTAAATTTCTTAAAAACTTCCGAAATACGCATTTGATCAAAAACCCGACCAAGACACCTCCGAATGATCTGAAAATTTGCACACAAATCCAAAATCACCTAACGAAGCTACTGCAACTCTCGGAAGTCCATTCCGACCCCTGTATCATAATCTCACCTACCAACCGAAATTCGCCAAAATACTAACTTCGCCAATTCAAGCCTAATTCTACTCCGGACTTCCAAAATCAATTCCGATCACACTCCTAAGCCATATATCAACCCTCGAAGCTAACCGAAACACCGTAAATCACATCCGAGCCCTCTAACTCAATAGTCAACATCCGGTTGACTTTTCCAAAACAAGCCTTCCTTAAAGAGACTAAGTGTCTCATTTCCTTTCAAAACCAATCTGATTTAACTCTAACATACCAAATACTGATAATGAAACATGAAGAAGCATAAAATGGGGGAAATAGTGCGGTAACTCATGAGACGATGGGTCGGGTCGTCACAGCAAAACACACTTGGGACAAGAAAATATTATGATTTCGGTTCTCAAAGGGTGAAATTGAGTACAGTTAAAGGCTGTTTAAACTAGTGAATTAGTTTTAGTTAATTCTTGTCTGTCGAAAGTTCTCAATTTTGCTTAAAGTGTTTAACTTTATATTTTCTTTTCTTTTTTTCTCTAGGACGAATAAATATTTAAGTGTGGGAGAATATGATAAGACAAAAGTACCATGCATAAATTGAGTTATTATTTATTTTTTTAAATAAAAATATTGTTATTATTGTTGCAGGAATATCATGATTTATTAAGAAACTCCGTAGCTCAGCAATTGACGGAACATGTCCGTGAAAAAATACAAAGTTTCGATTTATAAAGAAAATCTAAGGGAACAAAGAAAGAAAGAAAGAAATGTTTTTAAGAAAAGAAAAGCTTGATAAAGAAAGAAGAACAATGCTCCTGGACACATGATTTATTTCATGTACACACTTTTTTTTAAGTAAGAAGAAAATGTCACTTGCCAACTTGGAAACATGTGATGAGCACAAGTTTAAAAACCAAAGCTGCAACTTGCCAAAATCGGAAGAACAAGTTGCCAAAACATATCCATTCATGAGCCTTGCAAGTTGCCAAATTGGAAGGTGCAACTTTTCAAATCAAAGAGAAACGGTTTTGGACAAGTCTATAAATAGCACTCCTTTGAGTTGTTTTGGGAGAGTGTGGGAGCAAATATAATTTCTCTATCTTAAGTCATTTTCTTTCTTCTTCGTCTTCAGTTATTTAGTGTAGGAAATTACTCTAGTTCCCGTTTTTAATTAAATAGTGGGAATTATTCTCCTTGAATATCTATTTCTATTTTCTTATTCAATGGGCAAGAATATTTCCATTGTCAGTACTAACTCCATTATGGAGTAACTTTTCTTGTGTTGGGAGAATGACAGATCTTAATATTTCTATATAATAGTAGATATTATTCCTCAATTTCACATACTTGAGCTGAAGCTTTTCATTTAAATTTTATCCGCTTTTGTAGTTAGGTGTTATTTAATTTGTTAGCATCTATCTATTTCGTACTATATATTAACTTCTTACTAATTCTGTAATCGAAAGAGGCGGAAGAAGTAATATAGTTAATTTTGGTACTGATAGATGTTGACTTTTATTTAGTGACATCTAGCTTTTATATGTTAAAATTTGAGTCTACACTTATTTGTAATCGAAAGAGGTGAATATTACAGTAATCAATTATATCAAGTAGGGTAACCGAAAGGGACCTACTAAAAAGAGCATATTTTAGTTCAAGTATATATTTCTGGTTATTTAATGTTACCATTTTAACGATTAATTAGTATAACCGAGAGGAGTGCAATTAATTATTTAACAATAGTAATAATATATAAATGTAATCGTGAGAGGCATTTATACATTTATGAGAAATAAAAATTGAAGAATAAATATATCTACTGTATAATAAAAATATTAAGTGAAGGCACGATCCCAACACCCTTTTTATTATATTTGTGAAAAACTAGATATTTTCTATTGCTTTATTCGTGCATTTTTAGTTAGTTAATTCACAACACAACTCTTTCTGATTTTCTCAAATAGTAATTAAAACAAAAAATGTCTGTAGAATAGATAAATCAATCTCTATGGGTTTAACATCTTTCTATATTATTATTTGACAGAGTACGAGTTTAAATCATATACGCCAGACACTCGTCAGCCAGCTCGAGGCGGAGGTCGAGCAAGTAGAGGTCACCCTAGAGGGGGAGGCTAGGCCAGATATTATGCTCTTCCTATTTGGACGGAGGTAGTTCCATTTGACTCTATCATCACATGTATTGTTTCGGTCTTTCATAGAGATGCATCAGTCTTATTTGATCCAGTCTCCACTTATTCATATGTGTCATCTTATTTTACCCCATATTTGGGTGTATCCCGTGTTTCCTTGAGTTTTCCTGCCTATATATCTACACCTGTGGGAGATTCTATTGTTGTTGACTGTGTGTATCAGTTTTGTTTGGTTGTTATTAGTGGTTTTGAGACTAGAGCTGATCTATTGTTACTCAGTATGGTATACTTTGATATTATTTTAGGCATGGGTTAGTTGTCACTCTATCATGTTATTATTGATTGTCACGCCAAGACCTTGACGCTGACTATGCCATGATTACCACGGTTAGAGTGGAGAGATATTTTATATTATACTCCTAGCAAGGTTATTTCATGTCTAAAGGCTCAGCGGATGGTTGAGAAGGGGTGTGATGCGTATCTAGCATATGTGAGAGATGTCAGTATTGATACTCCTACCGTTGAGTTATTTCCGGTAGTGAGGGATTATCCAGATGTGTTCCTAGCGGATCTTTTGGGCATGCCGCCTGATAGGAATATCGACTTTGGTATTGATTTGTTATCGGAAACTCAACCCATCTTTATCCCACCCTATCGTATGGCCCCAGCAGAGTTGAAAGAATTAAAGGACCAATTGCAAGAGTTGTTTAACTTAGGCTTCATTCGGCCCAGTGTGTCGCCTTGGGGTGCTCTAGTCTTGTTTGTAAAGAAGAAGGATGGTTCTGTTGCGCATGTGTATTGATTATAGTCACTTGAACAAGGTTACAATGAAGAACATGCATCCATTGCCACATATTGATGATCTATTTGATCAGTGAAAGGGTGCCAGAGTGTGCTCCAATATTGACTTGAATTCAGGCTATCATCAGTTGAAGATTCGGGAGCCAGATATCCCGAAGATTGCAGAACTTGGTATGGTCATTACTAGTTCTTTGTGATGTCTTTTAGGTTGACCAACTCCCCAGCAGCATTCATGCACTTGATGAACAATGTATCCCAGCCCTATCTCGACTCATTCATCATTGTATTTATTGACGACATTCTGGTGTACTCTCAAAGTTGGGAGGATCACGAGCAACACCTGAGGAGTGTACTTAAGACCTTGAGAGAAAAGAAGTTATATGCAAAATTCTCAAAGTGTGAATTTTGGCTAGATTCAGTGGCATTTTTGGGTCATGTAGTGTCTAGTAAGGGTATCAAGGTAGATCCGAAGATGGATGAAGCAATATAAAGTTGGCCCAGACCATTCTTAGCTACGGAGATCTGGAGTTTTCTTAGTTTGGCGGGGTATTATCATCGATTTGTATAGGGTTTCTCATATGTTGCAGCACCTATGACCAGATTGACCCAGAAGGGTGCTCCATTCAGGTGGACCAAGGAGTGTGAGGAGAGATTTCAAAAGCTCGAGACTGCTTTGACTACAACCCTAGTGTTGGTATTGCCTACTTGTTCGAGGTCTAATACTATGTATTGTGATGCGTCGTGTATTGGTCTTGGTGTGGTGTTGATGTAGGATGGTAGGTTGATTGCCTACGTGTCTAGGCAGATGAAGGTGCATGAGAAGAACTATCATGTCCATGACCTTGAACTAGCATCTATTATTCATGCCTTGAAGATTTGGCGGCACTACTTTTACGGTGTCCCTTGTGAGATCTACACTGACCACCAGAGTTTTCAGTATGTGTTCAAGCAAAAGGATATTAACTTGCATCAGCAGAGGTGGTTAGAGTTGCTTATGGACTATGATATCACCATTCTATATCATCCCGGGAAGGCTAATGTGGTGGTCTATGCCTTGAGTCGTAGGGCAAAGATTTTAGGCAGTCTTGCATATCTACCGGCAACAGAGAGACCATTAGCTTTGGATGTTCAGGCCTTGGCCAACTAGTTTATTGGATCGGATGTTTTTGAGCTGAGCCGAATTTTGGCTTATGTGGTTTCCTAATCTTCTCTTTATGATCGAATCAGAGAGCGTTAGTTTGATGACCCATATCTGCTTGTCCTTAAGGACATAGTTCTGCACGGCGATGCCAAAGAGGTTACTATTAGAGATGATGATGTATTGTGGAAGCAGGGTAGGCTATGTGTGACCAATAGATGGTTTGTGTGAGTTGATTCTCCAAGAGGCTTACAGCTTGTGGTACGCCATTCATCCAGGTGCCGCAAAGATGTATCAAGACTTGAGGCAGCATTATTGATAGAGGAGAATGAAGAAGAACATAGTGGAGTATGTAGCTTGCTTCCTAAATTGTCAACAGGTGAAGTATGAGCATCAGCGGCCAGGTGGATTCCTTCAGAATCTAGAGATTCTAGAGTGGAAATAGGAACGGATCACCATGGATTTTGTTGTTAGGCTCCCACAGACTTAGTGGAAATTCGATGTAGTTTGGGTAATTATGGATAGGTTGACCAATTAAACTCATTTCATTCCAGTAGTGACTACTTATTCTTCCGAGCAGCTGGCTCAAGTTTATATCCACAAGAATGTCAAGCTTAAAGGTGTGCCGGTATTCCATTGTCTGTGACTGGGGTATGCAGTTTACATCGCGGTTCTGGAGGGCCATACAACATGAGTTAGGTACTCAGTTTGAGTTGAGCACATCATTTCACCCTTAGATGGATGGACAGTCTGAGCGCACTATTCAAATATTGGAGGATATACTCTATGCATATGTGATAGAGTTTGGGAGTTCTTGTCATAAGTTCTTGACACTTACATATTTTGCCTATAATAACAACTACCATTCGAGCATTAAGATGGCCCCGTATGAGGCTTTGTATGGTATACGATGTCAGTCTCCAGTAGGTTGGTTCGAGCCAGGCGAGGCTAGGCTATTAGGTAAAGACTTGGTTCAGGATGCTTTGGAAAAGGTTAAATTGATTCAGGATCGACTTAGTACAGCCTAATCTAGAAGTATCACGGCGCTCCGTCTCAAGTGTTAAATTTCAGCTCGGTCCGATTGGACAAGGATTTTTCTTATGCGAAGGAGCCAGTAGCCATCTTGGGCAGGAAGGTTCGAAAGTTGAGATCGAAGAACATTTCTCCAGTGAAGGTTTAGTGGCGGGGTCAGCCAGTTGAGGAGACAACTTGGGAGACCGAGCATGATATGTGTATCCGTTATCCTCATCTTTTCACCACTCCAGGTATGTCTCTATACTCGTTTGAGGACAAATACTTATTTTAAGAGGGGGAGGATGTAACGACCCGACTGGTTGTTTTGAGAGTATTAGCCCAGATCCCCTATTTATTGCTCCCTCTATTTCAGTTTGTGGGTATGTGACTTACCAGGATGCTTGGTGTCGGTTTCGATTGAGTTTCGGAGTGGAATGAGACACAAAGCCCCTAATGTAAAGTTTGAGTCGTAAGAGTTGATTGTAGTTTGACGTGTATGAAGATGACTCTGGAATGGAGTTTCGACGAATCCAATAGCTTCGTATAGTGATTTTGGTCTTAAGAGCGTGTCTGGATATTGATTTGGAGGTTCGTAGGTCCTTTCGGCATAAATTGGCAAATGTTAGAAAGCTTGAAGATTTTGGAAATTTTGACCAGGAGTGGACTTTTTGATATCGGAGATGGATTCCGATTTTGGAAGTTGGAATAGGTATGTAATGTCATTTAAGGCTTGTGTGCAAAATTTGGTGTAAATCAGAGTTGTTTTAGTATGAATCGCCGTCGGTTCTGAAATTCGGAAGTTTATAAGTTCTTAGGCTTGATTTGATGTGTGAATCATAATTTTAGCACTGCTTGATGTGGTTTTTGGCCTCGACTAGCTTTGTTATGTACTTTGGAACTAGTTGGTATATTCGGACGAGGTCCCGGGGGCCCCAGGTGTTCTAGATTGGATCATATTTTGGATTTGTGCAAATACAGAAGCTCCCAGTTCTGGTGTCATCGCACCTGTGGTGGGATTAGCCGCTGGTGCATACTCACATAAGCAAGCTTTCAATCGCATATGCAAAGTTGGCATTGCCCAGCAGTGGTCCCAGAAGCGAGAATTTCTCCGTAGAAGCGCCTTTGCTTCTGCGATGGTAGATGCGCAGCCTTTCTCTGCAGAAGCGGTCTCGCAGATGCGAGCCCTTATCCGCAGAAGCGGAAGCCTTGGACTTAAGTTGAAGCCGCACCTTCGATGGTTTTTCCATTGGTGCGGCATCGCAGAAGCAACCTATTGGCCGCAGATGCGGAAGTCACTAGGCAGAAAAAAGGAAATCGAGGGTTTACTTTCATAACTCATTTTGGGACTTTGAGAGCTCGGATTGAGGCAAGTTTTGAGGGATTTTCAGGGAAAGCATTAGGGTAAGGATTCTTGACTCATTTTTGTATAAATCCCATGAATCTATTGTTAAATACACCTTATAATTTGTGTGTTGGAGTTTAAAATTGGGAGAAAAGGTGCAAAAGTTCTTAGACCGAATTCTTGAGTTTTGTAAGCCGAAATGGGATCAAATTTTTTTAATACTTCTTGTATGGTTGGAGTCGATATCGAATGTGTGTTTGATTTTTGTAATTTTGGTTGGGTTCCGAGACGCGGGCTCAAGTTGACTTTTTTGGGCGATTTTCTAATTCTTTGCTACAATCATAATTTTATTATTTAAATTAGTTTCCTATAATAATATTTATAGTATGAAATTATTTTGTCTAGATTCAAGCCATTCATAGTAGAAAAATCGAGGAAAAGGCCTTCTAATTGATTGATTGAGTGTGTTTTGAAGTAAGTGACTTGTCTAACCTTGTATGGGAAAAATTCCCCTTAAGATTTGGTATTGTTATGGTAATTTGCAATATGTGAAGGCTGTGTACGCAAGGTGACGAGTTCGTACATGGGCTAAATGTTAAAATTCTTGTTTTAGCTAAGTAGTTTCCTTTTATGCCTTAACTGAGCTACTCTAGCATGTATAATCATCATGTTTAGCCTAATTTCACATGTCTACTTGTCTTATCTCTTATTTGCAACTTGTACTATATGCTTAGTTGACTTACCTGCTTTTTTGATTCCATATTCATTATTTAACTATGGGATTCTTTACTTGAAATTGCTATCCTTAAAATATCATTGTTTCAGTTGTTATGTTTTGATTTTCGTGATTATTGTTGAGGTGATTGTTTGGTTGTTTCACGAGGTTTCTGTCGTGCGATTTTTGTTGTTGCACGAGGTTTCTGCCGTGAGCTTGTTATTATTACATGAGGTTTCTACCGTGTGGTTGTTATTGTTTGCACGAGGTTTCTGTCGTGTTGTTGTGATTATTGATCCACATGCGGTGATATACGGTCTAGGTGTTGAAACACATGCGATGAGATAAGGTGGGCTTGTTAGGCGTGGCTAGTAGGGGAACTACTAGAAGCCATGCAGTGTGATAAGGTGGGGTAAAATGCAGGATGCAATTTCGGGATAATAATTTTCAAAACAAAATATAAAGGCTCCCGTGGTGAGATAAGGAAAGACTTGAGTTATTTTACATTTGGGACAACGAGGCGGTACCTCGGGAGTGGCCCTATTGATTTTCTCTATCTGTTGTACTTTGTTTGTTGTTCCCTTAATATTTAAGGTTGTGTACCCTTTCGTGTTGTATTTGTTGTTTCTTGATTCCGTGTTATTACTTTTCGTAAATTCTTTATTGTTTCATTTCCCTGTCATTCTTATTATATCATTATATCTTCTGCCTTGTTCTTATTATCTCTAGTAGGTCCCATACCTGACCTAGCCACTACTCTATCGAGGTTAGGATTGGCACTTACTGGGTAACATTGTGGTGTACTCATACTACGCTTCTGCACATGTTTATGCAGATCCAGGTACATCTTATCAGCCTCGGTATTAGTGTATGGAGTTACTTGCTTATAGGAGACTTCAAGGTACACCTTCCTGTGTCCGTAGGCCTCGGAGTCCCCTTCAATCCTATCTTTTCCTTGTTTCTTTATGTTTCTTCATAGAGAGTGATGTATAGGTTTGTGCAACATTGTATCTAGAGCTTGTAACTTATATCTCACTGGGTTTTGGGAGTTGTATTCATATTGAGTTGCAGTTATTACTTTATATAGTTGTTGGCATTTTGAGTTTTTAGTTATTTTTTCAGTTATTCTGTATGTTTGTTAGGCTTACCTAGTCTTAAAGACTAGGTACCATCATGACATCTTTATGAGGAAAATATGGGTCATGGCATATGTAATTTCTAATCAGGTGTGAGAAAATAATTGATGCTCTTGGCATTGAGCTCAATCAAAGGGGCCAAAAGCATCTTCATTGAGACAGAACATGTATGATCCAAACTACAAATCATATCCAATGCAAGCTTATTGTTTGGTGAGTTTTTATACACCATTGCTGAATAACTCATCTGAAAAATCTATTAACAAATTGAGCTCAAACAAACATGTGTCTTAGCACCCATGAAGAAGTATGCATTGGAGCAAGCTTGGTATACTTTGTTACAGAAAAAGGTGAATAAAATAGGGGGTCCCGCCTGCACACCAACACATTATCCTAGTACGAAATACTCGTTAAGAGTAAAACAATGACTCATGGGGAAAAAAGGAGGAATCAGTGGTAAGAGCATCAAGATCAGGGGCGAAGCTATCCTTGTCCCAGGGGAGTCAATTGACACACCTTAGCCGAAAAATTTGTATATATACTATATGTTGAATTCCCTCGGCTTCTTTGTGTGTTTACTTCTTTATATTTTTAATTCCCTTCGCGAAAATCCCGACTTCGCCAGTGATCAAGATCTTCTCTTCGAGAAACATTCGCACTCTATACTCTACTTAGTTAATACACTTTTACTGACTGATCCACCGCTGTACGCTGGAAATAAATATATCAAAATTTTACTAGATTATCAATAATTCACAACCCAATATAGCACAGTCGACAAATTAACTACCTAACTGCTAAAAATTAAGATTTCCTTACCGCAATGATTCATTTATCTCAGGTTTTCCTAGAGAGTAGAGAGCATTAACATCTTGTTTGAATTGTTGTTACATGTCGTTTCATAATGTATCATATTGTATTGTACTGCATTGTATTGTATTATTTGATGAACACAATGTTTGGATAGATTATATCGGTTGTTGTCATTTCATGATGGACGCACTAACAATATGAAGAATAAACTTGCAATATAACTATAAAAGAATAGGATAAGGAGTAGAATTATTATATAAAATAGGAAATGAGGCCACCACGCCAAATAAGTTGTTTCATGAAGTGTTGTTACGTAATGATGGATTTAACAATATATTATAATAAAATTTAAGTAACAATACGATATAATACAATAGGTAACAACCATCCAAACAAGCAGTAAGTCAACACAATATCTGAACAAGATTTAAATTTAAAAAAAGGGGGTAAATTATAGGATTTAACAAAAATTCATCAAGAAGGGGCTTGTTGGCACTTAGGGCTGTGAGTCACCCAAAAAGGGATGAAATAAGTAGTTATTCTTTCTGACAATGATGAATGATTAAGCCTTTGAAAAACTTGGGTTGTTCTTGGATCCGGTGGAAATGCTCGACAAGAATCTTGGTAAAAAGGTTGTTTTGTATGCTTGCAATAGGACCCGATTATTTCTATAAAGTCAATATGTTCTTTACAAATCAATATTTCATGTTCCTTATCATTGTGTCTCTTTCTATTTATAGGGAACATTTTTCGAGAAACCCCTAGTAGTATATATTGTAAGGCCCCGTAAAATTTTACCTAAAAATCCGGAATTTCGTAGTGTCGAGATAGGCTTATGTGTTAAAAATTATAGAGATTCTTCGCGGCGAGCAAGTTCGTCGTGGTACAGACTTTTTGGGTTGAATAGTGCACTAAAGAGTTGAAGGAAATGTTTGGCAGAATTGGGCGTTTCTGCGGCTCATTATGCGGCCGCATAATCACTCTGCGGGCTGCAGAATGAGCGTAGAGTGAGGCAGTTTTTTGGGCCATTTTTGATGTCATTTTCGCGGCCTATTATGCGACTTCAAAACCACTTAGCGGGCCGCACTCTGATCGCATATCCAACCTTGAAATTTTTCAGATGGAGGTTCTGCGGTGCATTATGCGACTACAGAAAAGGTCTGCAGACCACAGACTGGTCGCATACTAAAGCAGAAAATGTCAGTTCCGAAGGGCCAATTATGCGGTCCACTTTGCGGACCGTAAAATTATTATATGCAACCACAACTCTGTGTTGGGGCTCCTATTTTTCTAATTTTTTGAACCCGACTCCTTCCTAATATAACACCTTTGGGGGTAATTTTAGAAGGAAAAGTCTTGCATTTCTAGAGAGAGGATGCCATAAAGTGAGAAGGGGAGTTCCTAAGCTCTTCGTTCATCAATTCTTGATCAAAGTTGAGGAATTTGTAAGAAAAATTCACTAAATCTTCATCCTAGAGGTAAGAATCTATACTCTCGCCCTCAATTCCAAAATTTAACTAAAATGGGTAATTAGCAAGTTAATTCTTGGGTAGGGGAGTTACTTATCTTGCATGCATGCGTTATCAAAGAGTGTAGGAAGATTGTGAGCTAAAAATGGTAAAGAATGGGTTATGGGATGATGAAGTCTTTCATAAAAAGGACCTTAAAACCTTGATGCACACCTAGTGGTTGATAAAATGCTTAAACGAGCTAGAATCATGATCATCTCCCTAATTTTGATTCAACTTATTATATTTCTAAAATAGATTGAAGTTGATAAGAAATTTCGAATTATTTTAGAGTTGAGGAAGCTCAATTGAGGTATGTTGGCTAAACCCTCTCTTCTTGGAATTGAATCCCACGATATTCATGCAATTGATGTAAGTCCCAAATTGATCATTATAAAATTGGCTATTCCGACTATGCTTGTGTTGAAGGATATATGTTCAATATGTATTCTAAATGATTCATCATGCTATCTTATCATTTTAGGATGTGTTCAAATATGAAATATGTGTTAAAAATATTAAAACTTCAAGTCAAGTTCGAATGAGGTTGTTATGCCAAATTGTGTGAAAAGTCTCTATGTGCCTAAAATTCCCAAATTGCTCATATGTGTATTTAATGTCTAGAATGGAAAGCCTTATTGTTGTTGATGATGATAATGATGCTGGACTATGGAAAAAGAACTTGAATTATGAACTACAGCCAAGTGCCAAGTACTAAGTTTGATGTTACAATTGTGGCTACTAGTGCCGAATGAATTGAAAAGATGTGAAATAAGTATGAAGTGAGATGATTGATAGAAAATGATAATGTCTCGGGTGAGACGGCCTAGCCGATCAGGCCGTGATCGGGCTTCATGTCGCACACATAGTGGTGACTGTGCTAGAAATTATAATTGAATTTGTGATTATGGTAGATGTCTCAAATGAGACGGCTTAGGCGATCGGGTTGTGATCGAACTCTGTGTAAGAATACGGTAGTATTCTGATTGATGGTATATCAGTATTAAAGATCTCCCAACCTAAGATCATGGAAATTTACTTGGAAAATTTATGTGATTCTTAACTTGATGTTTTGGTATTATTTGAGGCTTCTATTGATTTCATGATTGCTCCTCCTTGTATTGGTGTTCATTCTATTGAGATGGTATTTAGTTATACATACTAGTACTATTTGACGGTACTAACATCCCTTTTATCGGGGCCGCTGTGTCTTTAAATGGATGCAGGTGGTTTCATAGTAGGTAGTGTTGATCAGCGATAATGGTATACCCTCTTCCCAGCAGGCTTGGTGAGCCCCACTTCATCCCGGGGTCATGTGTTGTATCTTTTGTTCATATTATTATCACATTTTGAAGTATAGCCGGAGCCTTGTTGCCGACACTATCATAATACTCTTTTGTATCTTTTAGAGGCTCCGTGTACATAATGTGGGTTGTATATGGGTGATAGAAAAGTCAACATGTTATGTTGTGTTTTGATCACTTGTTCCACTTCAAACCATAAGAATGTGTGTATATTGAGATTTTAAAATGAAGTAACTAATTAAATGATTTAGTATTGTATGCGTGATCTTCCTACAGTCTAATTAATGAAAATATGTCTTCTCTTGATCATGGGTGAGTTGGGTAGAAAGAAATCTAACAAGCTTGTCCGGCCGTGTTAACTCGGTTGAGCACTATTCACACTCCCTGAGTTTGGGGCGTGACATATGTGCAGAGAATATCCACTAGAATATTTTCCTTTGTCCTATCATAGAATTAGTCGTTATAACCTCGTCTAAGATGCTCGACCTCGACCTTGATCCACGTTGACTTTGCGATCTTGATCTTTATTGACACTTCAACCGCACCCTTCATTGCTTTGAGACTACTTCGCCCTGAGGTCGGACTGTGGGGATATCGCTGATAGCACGTGGCAGTCGATGAGAGCTATAATAGTGCTGATGTGCTTGCCCATATTGAAGACTTTTTTGCCCTATATAGTTAGTCTCTCCACTCATTGAGGTTGTCCTCGTGGGCGAGGTCGATGAGTGGACAGTGTTGTTTGTAATCTAGCTTTACTGAGCTGGCTATACAGGTCGTGGTTTTGGCGAGAGGACAACATGGCTTTCTGAGGGTTGCATATTTTGAATTCTTCGAGTTTCTCGGGAAGTTCATTGGAGCCATCTAGTCCAAGAGAAAAGGTGACGTGTCATGACGTCATCTATCATAATGACGATGTTTTTTGACGTGTTGCATCGATTCAAGTGTGACCCTTGATTGGTTCTACCATTTCGATATTCGGTATGGTTTGTTCATTTTGAAACTTTTCCAAACTCCTTCCATTTCATAAGCATAGCTTTTTCCTCATCCCCTTCACAAAATCCTTCTAACTTTTTGTTGTTTTCTTTGCTTTACCATATTGTTTCTACAACAATGTATGGCCTACCATTAGATATCCATATGGAAGACCACTTCATTCCTCTAGATGTTGATTTTCCCAACCAGGGGGAAGATGGTGGAACTGCTACTGAGAAGGAAATCCTCTTCACTGTAGAGGAAATTGTACCTCGATGTCCCAATGTTAAACCTAACTTCCAAAAGGCGCCAGAAGTGGTGATGGAGAGGTTTAAATTTATGATGATGG